TAAAAGGAACTGAGAATTCGCTCGCCGGCCCAGAAGTGAGAACAGAGGTGAGGAAGTCAACGTGGGGTTATGTGGCCGATAGATCCACACTACTGAAAGACATGACAATGGAGGAACAAGGTGACACAGTAACAAGGAGAGGGAAAATCCATAAAGCCTTTATTTGCCATTACAGCAAACACTGGCGAGATCTATACACACACACAAAAGACATCATCCGCACCACAATGTACAGCTGACCCCAGAGCGGCCAGCCTGTCATCTCAATGACAAGGGGACATTACGGCAGCAATGGCACACAATAAAGCTGTGCGTGTGACCTGACTGAAGGCAGGTCTGTACTTGTGACACTTCCACCCAGCAATCTTCGCATTAAAGTATTAAAGCCCAGGGGTCAGCAGACAATAAAACGCAGCAAACTGACTTCTGAGATGAAGAAATAAAATAACCTGGACAAGCAGGGCCATGAAGCAACATCGCTGCATGTTTTATGAATGTCCTTCCCGTGGAAGGGCGAGGGCATAAATACAGCTAGAGTGGACCACTTCACCATGTTGACGTTCGGGAGCACCTTTTACTGTCCAAATGACCCTTTAATCAGTTTACACAAAAGACATGCAAGGGGCGGTAAGTTGCAGATACCCCTCCAACACACAAAGACGCCCTCCCTGGCCTTCTTATAGAGACTGGTGGCACAGAAGAACAAGATGACCTTCAATCCTGGTGAGGTGTTTCTGGCCCAGCACCGGCATGTGAGCTGGTATCAGTACAGGGGTTCATGGGAGGACTTGGCCTGGAGGGAAGAGCCAGTATTAATAAGATATGTTGGTCCGGTGGTCCTGAGTGGAGATACTTCACCATTCAGCCATCAGTGGATGCAAAAACCACTTATGGGAGGTCTTCAAACATCAAAGTGCTTTCCAACTCTGAGATGTCATGTGACTGAATGCCAGGAGCCATCTTTCGCCATGCCTACCACTCAAAGAGGCACCATGGCACACTTTCCATGGTACATTTTCTAACCCTACAGAAGTCTCTGTGACAACAGAAGACAGAAGTCTCCATGAAAGGGGTCGTTGGTTGTGTCTGCTCCCTAGGCCAAAAAGCTCCCTGTTCCCTACTGGAACTAAGCTCACCAGGGCATGTTTTATAATAATCAAAGCCTGTATGCCTGGTGCACTAACCTCTTATCCATAGGAAATTAAAAAAATGGTTCAGTTGCTCCCAGGGTCAAGATGTTGGTGTTCCTGGAACAGGACTGTGTGGTTTCTGTATCAAAGGTTAAAGGGAAGCTATGATGGTTTTTCTTCAGTTTTATTTCCTTTTCTTTAAGTACTAAAGGTATTACACAAATAGTTTATATGGTCTTTAATCCCTCATTACAAGGTGCACCTATGACATTCATTATGCAAAGGCTACTTGACTTTCTAATAAGATAGGCCAGAATTGCCTGTATGGTTTGGGATTAATTGCACAAGGAGAGAGAGCAGCAGTCACCGGTCTTTATTACAGGAAGCTACAAGTCTCACATTAGATTACTGCACAGATCTGGAAGAAATACACAAAGCTCACCAAGATTCAGGAAGAACACGCATGATTCTTGTATGAGGACAATATCTGCTGATCCCCGGAGTTCAGCTTTAATGTCAGTGAGTACTAAGGTTTAGTGTTCGGGTTCAGATAAAACATTTTACGGTCAGGTCTAAGGCTGGTCATACTCTATGAATGAAACTCCCAATTCAAAACTACAAAATGCATGGGGACGGCGGTCCTGACAGGGCCACATACTGGCTGAATTTTGGCTGAGTCTGCCTGCTTAAGTGTTAGGCGTGGTATCTGGGTAAAAATTGGAACAAATGGTAAATATTCAGAGATATCCATTACCCAATCTGGATAAGTGCTCGCCACGCACAAATGATTTGCTCCTCCGTAATTACCATATACTGTACAGAATCCCAAAGAAGATACATAGTTACATAGTACTTGTGGTTGAACAAAGACACAGGTCCATCGAGTTATACCTTTGTGAGTGTGCGTGGGTGTGTGCGTGTGTGTATGTGTGTGTGTGCGTGAGTGTAACATACAATGTTAACAATGAATTGAATTGCTTATTGCACGCCTAGAAGTGTGCGGACGAGGAGTGCGGCTCACATATAGCGGTTATACCGGGAAATATAATTTATTCCTAAATGCCCAGCGATAAACTCCGTTTCTTCTCCGATACAAGCCATGCAGTGCCTCCTCCAGGAACAGGTGGCGGATCCAGGAGAAGCAAAAGATAAACCCATAGAGCCCGCAGAGACTGTCTCTTCAGTTGTGAGGTGACATAAGGAATAAAATGAATTAAGATGTATTACATCAGTATAATAAGAGCCTCCTGTATCTACATAGTGCATAAGGATGCTAAAGAGGGGCCCTTGAGAGCTGTGCATTGCCAGGCGTAGAACAAAGAGCAATATTCTGGGTACAGCCGTATGCAAGCCAAGGCCCGGGAGGAGAGTGCCTGGAGACACAGCTCCCCCTGCTGTCTGTCCCGGGGTAGTGTTCCCATCCGCCGCCTCATGCCTCCCACTGTCCCATTTTTCTTTCTCTGAGCTTGTACCAAATCGCTGAGGTTTCCTGGGATTTTATGACTTAATTTTCACGCTTTCTTTAGCTCAGCCTGCTGACGAGAGACAGATGCAGCTGGCTGGTGTTTGTGTGTGTGTTTTTTTTGTATTATTTTTATTGTTATTTCACTGCCTCTCCTGCCCCGGGGATTTGTAAATGAAAGATGCAGCGATTCTGCTGTATGTTTGCCCCAGAATAAAATATCGGAATAATCTAAGTTAAAGGCGCTCCGACATTAATAAGACAAAACTCAGACGATTTGAACTGAAATCAGACCACAGCAGTAGGGTTTTTAATTAAGGGCAACCTCATTCCACATGCACAGACCTTGTAAAGAGATCTTCTGAAGGAAAGTCGGGGAAATAATACATTCACGGAATAT